ACACCCACGGAATCGTAGGATACACTGGTGTAGTAGCTCCAGTAGCTCACCACGTCCCAGTAGTATCCACTTACGCCCATCATTACACTCCATCTGTGTACACTGGACCACAACACGTCCCAGTCATTGGAGCCCCGGTGTCCCAGTAGAAACCCCAGAAGTTCAACACGCCAAGGCCTCCCATTTGGCTGCTCACGTTAAAACCGCTTCCAAGTGGTAATTTTCCAAAATTGAAATTGTTATATAAAAAAGGCTGTCCATGTCCAGAGTTTCTGAAGATATAGAAATGTACAGTTAGCTGGCTCATTAATTATATACAGTGACCGTTGAGGGCTTGAGCCTTGGCGGCGTAGTGAGCGGCTTTAGCGTGTTGCACTTCGACGGTGTCGACTGGGACTCCGTTAACGATGGCTGGGACTTCATGGGATACAACAGAGTGAGCTACGATAGCATTACGGGCATTGGCTTCAGCGTGAGCAGCGAAGTGAGCGGCCTTAGCATGTTGGACTTCTGGGGTTTCTACTGGAGCTCCGTTGGCTACAACTGGGACATGGTGGGATACAACAGAGTGAGCTACAACTGGAGCTACAAAAGCGTGAACGGAATCACCGTTGCGGGCTTGTACTTCGGCTTTGTGGACCAAATGGGCAGCCTTGGCGTGTTGAACTTCTGGGGTTTCTACTGGGACACCGGTGGCTCCAATGACTGGGACGTGTTGTGGTCCAGTGTACACAGATGGGGTGTAATGAGCGGCATAGGTGGATACAACTGGGGCAGCTACTACAGCTCCATGAGCGACAACTCCATGAGCAACAATACCATGGTACAAATCTCCGTTACGAGCTTCAGCATGAGCCTTGTGCACGGAGTGTTCAACCTTAGCTTGTTGGACGGCAGCAGTATCAACAGGGACACCATCAGCTCCAATAACTGGAAGATGTTGATGTTCTACATGATGAACACCATAGACTTGATGTCCTCCATAGACATGATGAGCTCCATAACCAAGAGGAGAAAGGTATCCAGCAGAGGCAACAGCCAAAGCGCAAGCGAAGACAACCTAAATTAAGAAAATCACAACAATTACCACAATTCTAATTAAAATCTTCAATTAATACTTACAAAGAATTTCATTTTTATGAGTAGGTATTAACCTCCTGATTGATAGGACTGTTATGACTGTGCCGATACCAATTCGACTTTCCGCTTTTATACTCAACGTGGTGTGAAGCACCTTCAACAAATATTTCAAGCGCAAGGCTACCATCACCGAAACAGAATTTCTAAATTAACTTAAAAAAAACTCCGATATTTTATTGGCAATTTGCATTAACCAATTTGCATTTTATTTAAAGTAGATTAACACTAAACATTTACATTATCTTAAGACTTTAGATAATCACAATTTAAATTCTTCATCGTTTATGGTGAAATTACCAAATTCCTCAACTGAAATTACAATAATCAAAAACTTGATACATTAATTTGTTTCGTTACCTTTTTCATTCTTTTTCGATCCATAATATTTTGCAGCCGGATTCGCATATCTCTTCATGATTTTTCGAACAATAAATTCGTTTGTACTTACAATATTCTCGTTTCCTTCCAAATTAGGAATTGTTTTTAATATTACGTCAGATCGTTTGATCTAAAAGAACACAAATTTTATACTGCAAACTCTTATTAAAAACATTAATAGATTACTTACCTTTCGATTAGTATTACATAATACAACTCCAATCATAATATTCAATAGCAAAAAGTAAATCTGCGTGTAAAAATAACATTAAAACACTAGAAGTATTTGCTTTATAACTCAATTATTGCTTACCACGTGCTTCATTGTATATATCTAAAGTGCGTAATGCTTATTTGATCTCGGACTCTGCTATGAACGTTTCCTGCCAATTGATGTTATTATATAATAAATTTTTACTGTCATAACATAATTAAATCGTAATGAATGTAACTGGTTTTTCACATTCAAAAGGTGAATATAAATAATTATAATTTTTTAATAATGGAATCAAGTGTAGTTGAATAAATAAAAAATATTAAAAAGAAAATTAAATAAATAATTATTAACTTTTAATTGAATCATAAATTATTTTCGTTTTGAATTTTTATATGATTTTCATTTACTTTTTAAGTTAATATTCAATAAATTTATCAACACTTCTTTTAGATTTAATTGTGTTGCATTTTTATACTGAATTAGTAAAGTTAATTAAGTAATTATTTAAAAAAACGATTTAAATTTGTTTTTGTTATTGGAATCTTCAACAAAACAGTTTCTCTATTATGTTACAATTAATGAGCGTTCAAATTTACGTTTCATATTGTTAAATAATTTCAAATTACGTTTGATACTATTAATTGAATCATCATTAAAAGTTGTGTTTGTGTTTGTTGAACATTTTTTTTTTTGCAATAATTATAAAATTATATAATTACAGACAAAAAAGGGAAAAAAAAGTGTATGAATCTTTGCAATTAACAATTATTTTCTGATTATAATGAATACATGTTTGAACACCTAAGAAATGATTGTTTTACCTTCAATTAGTTAATAATTTGAATAAAAAAAATACTTTTCAAAATTTTATTATTTAAAATCTCAAAGTTCACAATGATAATTGTGTAAAAGTTTTTAAAATCTACTGAAATGGTTCCAAGAAATTCATTGTTATCTTTCAATAAATTAAGTAGATAATCATTTTGTAATATTAGATGAATCATCAGTAGAAATTTATAGGATTTTTTGGGTATTAAATTTAGAAACAAATTTACTTATTTTTTTTGGAATAATTTTATTTACATAAGAAAAATGATACACCGGCTATTCGGACGTTTTTCAATGGATACCATTGCATTCGAAAACTCCGGATTTGGACAGCCTTTAATTTTTTTTTTCTAATTATTTTTTTTCTCATTTATATCAATTAGTTCAGAATTTAATAGTAGTAAGCGTGAGCAGCGGCTTTGGCGTGAGCTGCAAAGTGGACGGCCTTGGCGTGTTGCACTTCTGGGGTCTCTACTGGGACACCGTTGGAGATGACTGGGACATGGTAGGCAATTGGAGCCACTACACCAGTGTATCCTACGACGCCGTATTGCTCGTTGATGGCTTGAGCCTTGGCGGCGAAGTGGGCGGCTTTGGCTTGCTGCACTTCGATGGTATCGACTGGGACACCGTTGGCGATGACTGGGACGTGGTGAGCGACTGGAGTTACTACACCAGTGTATCCTACGATTCCGTGAACGTAATCTCCGTTGCGAGCGTGAGCCTCGGCTTTGGCGGCGTAGTGAGCGGCTTTAGCGTGTTGCACTTCGAGGGTATCGACTGGGACACCGTCGGCGATGACTGGGACTTTGTGGGATACCAAGGAGTGAGATACGACTGGAGCTACAACGGTGTTGAAAGCCTTGGCTTCGACGTGAGCAGCGAAATGAGCGGCCTTAGCGTGTTGCACTTCTGGGGTTTCCACTGGGACACCGTTGGCGATGACTGGGACATGGTGGGACACCACGGAGTGAGCTACGATTGGAGCAACTACAGCATTGTGTTTAGCTTCGGCGTGAGCGGCCAAATGGACGGCTTTAGCGTGTTGAACTTCTGGGGTCTCGACTGGAACACCGGTGGCTCCGATCAGTGGGATATGTTGCTTGACGGATCCCCACAGGGATTGAGCGTAAGCGTAGATTCCACGACGTTTACGGTAATGCACAGCATTAGCGTTACGAGCCAAAGCCTCGGCGTGAGCAGCGAAATGCTCGATCTTAGCAGCAGCAACCTCAGCGGTATCAAGAGGAAGACCGTCGTGGGACACCACAGCTGGGACAGCGTAGTGAGCAACAACTGGAGCAGCTACAATTTGATGAACCAAATCTCCGTTACGAACTTGAGCATTCAACTTATGAACAGAATGTTCAGCCCTGGCTTGTTGGACTTCAGCGGTATCAACTGGGACACCATCAGCTCCGATCAAAGGAACATGTTGAGCTCCAACAATTTGGACGTGATGAGCTCCGAAAACCAACGGAGTTACATATCCGGCGGATGCAGCGGCCAAAGCGCAAGCGAAAACGACCTTTAGGAGAAAGTCAAATCAATGAAAATAATACAACGATTTCTTCAATTAATACTTACAAAGAATTTCATTTTTATGAGTAGTTATTAACCTCCTTTGATAGGACTGTTAAGACTGTGACGATATCGATTTCGCCTCGCTCTTTTATACTCAACAGAAGCAGTGAAACACCTTCAAAATTATTTCAAGAGCAAGGCTCTCTGCACCGACGCTCCAACGTTTCCAATTTTGTCTCACACAATTATTTACACTTTTCTCATTTAAATTTCTCCTAAATCATTCATAAAATACATTGATTCAATTATCTGTTTCTATTACAAAATAATTCTAATTTCGTTGAATATAATTTTGAAAACTTTCATGTTTCATTCAATTAAATTATAAAAATTCCAAATTCAGTTTTGGTACTGGAAAATCATCAAGGTAATTTGCATCGGCGTTAATGTTTGACAAGTATTTAGGTCTTTTAAGTCGACTTTCAATACAATCTTCACCAACATCGCAGAATGAGTCCACTTGTTCAGAGCAAAGAGCAAGCAAAACGAATACTGTCAGAATATGCTAAAAAATATGAATTAAAATTTCATAATTCAAAACATTTGATAAAAATACAATAGATAAAAATGAATATACAATTTCATAAACTTACCAAAAATTTCATTTTTTTTACTTCTTCCACTTCTGTTCGATCAATAAACGAAAAGAATACGACTTCAATGATTTTGTAATTACTATTTATACTTTTCCATTTTCAACAAATATTTAAAAAAACTATGTAAAAAAGCAATTAGTCTATATTGATTGGTTATTATCATTTGTTTATCGTAAAAATACAAAGTATGTTCAAATATAATGGGAATGTATTAATTTCAACTCACAATTTAAAAGAAAATAGTAAAACTATAACTTTTTTTTAAAGATTTTATTAATAATTGAAAATTGTAATTAATAATTTCATTTCAATCTTTCTTATTCCATTCGTTTTCAATTTCAATCAAGTATAAAAATACCTTAAAAAAATATTTGCTTGCAAATTTATACTTTTACTATAACTGAGAGAAGATATGGATTAATACTTATTAATGATATATTGATAAATTTCTTATAATAATGAAAGGATTTTTTGATTTGTTTATATAAATTTTTCATATATTTTTTTTTTTAAATTAAACAACAAAAATATTGAATAGCTATTTATTTATTTAATGCAATATGTAATAAGATACTTCTTAATTGAAAGTTTACATTTTATGAATCTATTTCTACAACGTGTCCAACATCATTTCAATTAATGCTGATAAGTTTTCCATTTCGAACTTTGAAGGTTCCTTTGACAGCTACCAAATTCTCCATACGTTTTTGGCTCCTGTCCATACGTTTTTGGCTCCTGTCAATAGCAACATCGTCAGCTACCAAA